TTGTTTTTTTCGGACAAATAGTATTTTTTTTATAATTTATTACAACTTTTCCAACTTCTGGTGCAGTCAAATCATAAAAAGTATAGGGACGAATAGAAACAGTTTAAAAAATTTTAAAATAATAGAACCCCATCTTTCTATTTCACATCGTGTGAAGGAGTATTCGAAATATTTAAAGTTTTACTACTATCAGAAAATTTATCCTTTTTTAATCCCTTCCCATCTCTGAATAGATTCAGTTGGGAATTACAGCTATCAGACTCCATTCAAACCAGGCAGAGATTGTCAGTCCATAACCACTTATGTGCAATTATTATTGGTCGGTCACATTAATGGACATTCGCTGGTATTTTAGCTATTAATTACTAGTACAGAAAATCGTTATTAATTATCATACAACGTCCACAAAAGCCACTAGCACGCAATTATGTGTCGGGTGGTAGCACAAAACAATGGACCGCTAAGCAAGCAATTATAATTCGAAATAGGTTTTTACAAACATTCTGTGTATCGTATTATGTTTTAACAATACCAGGTTCAATAAGAGTAAACTGTAAAGTGTTAATGTATTATCCACAGGGGTGGATTTAAAATAAATAACATATTCTAGATAATTGAGCTACACTACAGTTCATCAAATTTCTAGAGGTGTTCGACGCCCAGACAGAGAACGCGCTACGTGTGACTAAGATAGCTATTGTACAGTCTGCTAAACAAGTTATTTTAAATAGTTTTTAATATTTTTAGGTAATTAAATTTTAAAAGTGTGGAATAGTTTAGGGATTAAATTGGTCTGATTGGACTTTCTTAGAACGTTTTTAAAAGCAGCTAAAGATAGTATGTAGAATTGAAAATAATTATTATGCCATAAAAGGTGTTTTGGAATTCCTTCAACCTTTTGAAATTGAGTCAGAAAATATAAATTTTATAGGATAGCGGAAAATACCTATAATTTTTTTGTAGGCCTTTGTAAATCGTGGAAATAGTTTATATTTTATTTCTACCTTATTAAAGAAAATGGTACCTATTATTAATAACGGTTGTTTCTGAAACATTACTAAAATTTTCGAAATTTTGTTTTTCTACAAAATAATAAACTATACTATTTAGAAAAAAATTTATTTCTCTTATAATTTTATAAAAAATAACAGGGGAATATTTACATTTCTTGATCTATTAAACAAAACGATAAATTATCTCGACGAATGACACCATGTTCTAGTACGGAAGCTAGCTTTACATTTTTGTTGGTGGTTTCATGGGTTTCATATCAATTTTTTGTAATTGTAGTTTACACGTACATATACCTCTTAACACTTGTTTGCTTTATTAAAAAAGTGTGTTGTTGTGATTTACGTCGAAATAAGTCAAAAACAACTTGAAACCCCATATAAAATCAAAAAGGAGAAACGGAAAAAAATTGAGCCTGTAAATGAACACAACTCAGAAACAAAAATAGCTATCTAATAATAAAAAAATAAAATTTGATTCTTGTGCATCTTCGTTGTAAAAATAGATAATACTTTTTTGATCTTAGGTACAGATATAATTTTAATGGTCTTCCGAAAAACTTTCTTCAGTTTCCATATCAGATTCAAAATCAGTCTCACTGTCACTGTTTAAGTTAATTATAAATCTATCAGTTGCCTCATCCAAAGTAACTTCTCTGTCATAAAATTTAGATTCCCACATTTTAGCATTATTACAACAAGATTGCCACTCCTCTTTAGGAAACGTATCAAAAAAGTCTTCACACAACAGTTGTACGTCTTGTCTCTTAAATGTAGTGTTGTTACTAGCTACATATTGTTTCAATGATGCCCACGCTAATTCGATCGGATTAAGATCGGGATGATACGGTGGCAAACGCAAACAACTAAAACCATGTTCATTTATCATTTCTTCAATTGCATACCTCTTAAATCGTGACTTATGCAATAGCACTAAACTGTATAATTGCGTTTTGAGCATATCCTCTTCGTAAGCAATATTATGATTCCTTAACCAATCCTGCATGTCAGCTTTTTTAGAAGTTGACGTTGGTGCTTTATTTACCTGGACATTATGGTAAGGAGCATTATCAACAATAATGACGCTTATTGGAGGGAGGTTCGGAAACAGCTTTTTTTTCAACCATTTAGAAAAATTATTAAAATTCATTTCATCGTGGTAGTCTCCACTTTTGGTTCCAGATTTGAAAATTAACCGGGCATTCGGAATAAAGCCCATTTCACCTCCTGCATGGACAATAATTAGTCTATCACCTTTATTAATTGGTTTCTTTAATCCCTCATTTGAATTATCACTCCAAGCTTTCTGGTGTGTGTGGGAGGCATGAATGTATGTTTCATCTAAGTAGACAATTGGACGGCCCTCTGCTCGATAACTTTTTAAACGAATCAGATAGTCTAAACGTAGCTTTTGAATATCAAACCTTTCCATTAATATTTTTCTGTTTGTTTTTGTTTTCCGCCAACGAAATCCTAGCGACTTTATTATTTTTCTTAAACTTTCATAGCTTCCTTTGTACCCTGTAGCTTCTCTAAATTTAGTCAGAATTGTTTTTAATGTTGGAACAATATTTTCCGAGATTAACATGAACAGAATAATTCTTTTTAAAATACCTTTGTCAGCTTCATCTATATCATTAACTGTTTTTGGTTTTTTAATGGTTTTTCTTGGTGATGAAAATTCCGATATCTCACGGTTATCGATTCTTTTTTTCTCTCCAGAAATGCGGACGACAGTGTTTTTAGATACTCCTGTGGCTGCAGCAACACGATCATTTACATTTTTAAATGGTATTGGTGAATTAAAGTTTCCTTCTCTTCTCATAAACTCTATAACATTGGCTATTATTTCGCGAGATTAACTGTTAATCACGCGGCCTCTTAATTTGCTATTAAACTCCATACTTAGGTTCTATTAAACTGTAATGAGCAAAAAACACAAACGAAAATAAAAAAAATGTTTTAGCGAAATTTACATCTGACATTTACGTCTGAATGAAATAGTGAAATACTTGATGCGCAGAGTGTACTTTCATTGCGTAAATCCGTCGGGATGCCTGCCAGTAGTGCTTTCTCTGTCTAGCCGTCGAAAGCCTCTAGAAATTTGATGAACTGTACATTATTTTCTAGTTACTATTTGAACCTTCTTCTCATTATATAACGATTACCATAAATAGAATTACTATTATTCGTATTACCATCACAGTAAACTTTTCTTACTTAATCACTAATTTTTATTACTACCGCAGTTAGACCTTTACTAATAACATTTTTATAACTACCACCGTAAAACTAGCAAACTGAATCTGCAAAATAGTAATATTTTTCTGACAACTACAGTAAAACAGGTTAATATTAAATGTAACGAACCATTACGATTAATAGCGAAGAATTTGCCGAAGTCGTTTCTGGCTTAAAATATTAAGCGATATTCGACCATATGGTCTTGCACAGTTGTTGAGTTTGAGTACAGAGCCACAGTAGACATGTTCAGTTGTCGTGAGCATTAGAGTCTCAAAAAAACCGACTATTTTTTTTTTTTCAAAGAACATTAAAAATTCGTCAGAGTTTCTCTAGAAAATGACCCTATGAAAATATGAGCTCTTAATATTAGTATTTAGAGGTGGCGTTTTGTAATTTTCTATTTCCCATTTAAATAACATGGGAAATTTTTTTTAAACTTTGGAATTTTGTGCCGTGATACCGAGCTACTGTATAAGTATGACGAAATTACCCCTTATAGAAAATTTAATGCTCTACAGAAAAGGTCTGATTGACTTTTTGCGTAAATGCGTAAAAAAATTTATTGTAGATTTTACTGCTAATAAGTTAACTAGAAATGTATAGATCTTGTATTTAACTGTTATTACTGTTTAATCTATTAATAAGCCAATAAATCTGTTATTAATAATTAAAATGGATTATTGATACATAATATAAATAAATTTATAGTAAACTTCTACCAAATTTTTTAAGTAAGTGAATATTTTTTGCTAAAAATCAATAAAAATTATCATTTATCAAATTATTAAGAATTTTAGATCTGCATTCCATCAAATATATGCATATATTTATTCTTAAGTTAATAATTTTGGGTTTTAAATACATATAAATTGATTTTTTTGTATTTAAGAAAAAAAAAAAGTATAATTTTAAACATTCTGAAGTTTGAGGCTCGATATCTTTGAAACGGCTCGACTTACGCAAAAAGTCAATTAGACCTTTTTTGTAGAGCATTAAATTTCCTATAAGGGGTAATTTCGTCATACTTATGAGGTAGCTCGTTATCTTGTTACAAAATTCTAAAGTTTAAAAAAAATTCCCATGTTATTTAAATGGGAAATAGAAAATTACAAAACGCCACCTCTAAATATTATTATTAAGAGCTCATATTTTCACAGGGTCATTTTCTAGAGATACTCTGACGAATTTTCAATGTTCTCTGGAAAAAAAAATTTTCGGTTTTTTTTGAGACACTCTAGTGTCGTGAAGTGCGCAGTGCGTGGTTTCTATCTGGGGTAGTATATTCAATATGGAGACGTATGGTGCATTATTAAGAGAATGGGGGTTTCTAGACCAAGTTAATAGTTTCGTAGGTAAGTTATTCGAAATAATATACTTATGCACAGATTAGCAGAGAGCTAAATATAATACCTGTAGCTATTTTGATTTATACAATAGTAAAAAAAATCAGGACCTTTAGGCGGGAAATGCCTAATGCATAAATGCTTTTATTTCGGATTGAAGATGAGCGGTTAAGGAATGTTTAAACTGCACCGGAGCACATTCAGTATCAAAAATTTAATATTTCCAAGAGAAAGTTTTTAGATCAAAATTTATTAAAAATGTTATTATACATTTAAATACATATCTAATGGAAAAATTGGTTTTTTTTTCTATTATTCATGAGTTTAAATTCAAAAGTAATAGTTCAATAAACGATTATATTACAATTTCTATAGCATTGAGGTACGATATGGTTTTTTAAAACAAACAACTCTTTTATTATTTTCGTTATAAATTAAAATATATTTTGTTATTTATTACTGTTCAAATTTAAGTACATTAAGACTTACTTTATCTAAAAAATAAAACCTTCTATTATCTTTATCTACTATTGTTATTTATCTGATAAGAAAATATTTAAAATTGTATCTTATAAATAATAACGTCTAAATATTTTAAAAATATCTCATATTTTAAACCTACAGATAAAATTTATACATTTAAAATTTAGGCTTCAGAACTTGATGGTACGTAAAGTACTGGACTAACTTTAGCCTGTTCGCTTTGTGCTTGAGCCTGAGATAGTTGCTCGTACAGTTGCTGTCTTCTGATACTTCTCTCAACTTCCATTTGAGTTTTGAGTTTCCTAATGGATCGAGCCAGAAGATGGGCGAAGATGGCACCAAGTAACTGGAAAAACAAAGTCATAATATGTAATAAATTTTATTATAAGAACCAATAATAATCTAGGGAGTAATTCAAATAATTCAAACATTGACTGAAGAATAAATCACGAAGTCAGGAATGAATGAAAGAAATCTGTGATATCTACTTTAATATGTTAAGATTATTTGTTTAGACCTTAAGGCAAGACATAGTCATATTTGCTAGTGGAAAGTTTAGTAATATCCTGTGTGATATAGTCTAAAGAGGACTAGAACATACCAAAAGATGGTGCCGTGAAGTGGGACTTAGTATAAACCCTACAAAAACAACACTAGTAGCCTTTTCAAGGAAAAGAAAACTTAATCTCAAAACCGTTAAATTGGACGGGATAGATATAGAATGGAAAAATGAAGTCAAATATCTAGGCCTAACCCTGGACAACAAACTTCTCTAGAACACACATGAGAAGGAAGTAGTAAATAAGGCCACAAAAGCCCTAATGGTATGCAGAAACATGGCGGGTAAACGATGGGGATGTAACCCAAACATACTGCGATGGATGTATACTGCAATAGTGAGACCAATCATCACTTACGGGGCTATAGCCTGGAGTAACAGAACTAGTCTAGTTACTACGAGAGCTAATATCTCAAAAGTACAAAGACTAGCCTGTGTTTGCATTACTGGTGCAATGAGAACCTATCCTACGGCCGCAATGGAGGTGATCTTAAACCTCGCCCCTCTACATTTGATGATAGAGAATGTGGCAAAAAGGACACGATATAGAATGATCAGGAGTGGAGTAATCAGACGAAAGTCTACTTGCTTCAGGACTAAAGATACCTGGGACATGCCCCAGGATGAAATGCAAAAGAAGTACAGTTTTGTGAAAAACTTCAAAACCACAGAGCTGGGCTGCAAGAAAGAACGGAACCAAGAATCCATCGCGCTTGCAACCGAAAGACGTGCTATTCAGTGGTACACGGACGGTTCCAAAACCATAGAAGGAACTGGAATAGGAGTGTATGGGCCGAGAACCAAGCACTCCGAAAGCTTGGGAAAATACCCAAGCATCTTCCAGGCGGAAATTCACGTCATCGAGAAGTGTATCCAGTTTAACATCGAGAGAAACTATCATAGACAAGAGATTATCATCATGTCCGATAGTCAAGCAGCCATCAAAGCGCTGAGTTCTTACGTAATCAGCTCAAAAATGATATGGAGATGCCTAGAACAATTGAATGAGCTAGGCGAGAAAAATAAAGTTACTCTCACTTTTGTCCCGGGACATAACGGGGTACAGGGTAACGAGATTGCAGATAGTCTTGCAAGGAAAGGGGCTCAAACACCCTTTGTAGGACCTGAGCCGTTCTGCGGTATCAGCAGTAACATAATATTAGAAGAGATTAAAAAAGAATTGGGTAGTAGAAGAACCGATAATTGGAACAATCTCTTGGGGCTGAGACAGGCCAAGATATATCTGGGTGAATATAACCAAAAAAGATCGGAAGCCTGCATCTGCCTGAGCAAGAACAGGCTACGTATTGTAACAGGGATCCTTACCGGGCACTGCCGACTAAAAGGACACCTAAGTAAACTGAGAGTAGTATAGGATAGTGAGTGCAGATTCTGTGAGAAGGAGGACGAAACCTCCATTCACATCCTAACTGAATGTGTAGCACTCCAGAATCCAAAGGCACTATATCTAGGAGGATATCAAATAGAAGAGGGAGACTTACCTAACTTGAAGCCACTTCAAATCCTACACTTCCTTGAGAAAATAGGATTGGAAGGGTCGCTATAGGCATTGAGACATTTCCTTAGTGCTGTGGCGACAGAAGGGGGCACAATAGATCTTTTAGGTCGCAGTGTATTAACACCCCATTATCAACATAACATAACATAACATAACATAAGGCAAGACCTACTTTTAGTTGACGTTTGTTAATATACCGTGAGCACCATAAGTCTTACCCCCCTATCTAACTCGTTACTGGAGTCTTGTTAGGAAAATCGCCGAGACACGTCGATTTTTGATTTCTACAGTGTACATTTTTGTATGAATAGTTTACCCTTAATTTCATCCCTTACTGGAGGGAAGCAACCCTTTCAAAAAATTTAAATGGCATGGGGTGGTGAGTGATAGCTCATTTGAAAGAGGGTTTTGTTCTCTATTCAACCTTGTAAAAAATTTTGAAATTTGCTTCTTTAATTCTCGACTAAGTGTTGTTTCAGAATAACGGAAATTAACGTAGCGCACTCGTCCTTAGAATTAAAATTCGGCCCTGCATGATTTCGGTTTTGGTTCAGACGTGAAGTAAGACTTTTTGCCATTAGAAGGTCACTATTAGTTTAGTTGCTTTCCTATTTTGTGAGGTTTTGCTATTTTTAAACATTAATAAATCAACACGTAATAAAGCAAATTTAAAATTTTTTTGCACGGTTGAATAGAGAATAAAACCCCCTTTCAAATGAGCTATCACTCACCACCCCATGCCATTTAAATTTTTCAAAAGGGTTGTTCCCCTCCAGTAAGGGATGAAATTAAGGGTAAACTAATCATACAAAAATGTACATTGTAGAAAACAAAAATCGACCTGTCTCGGCAATTTTCCTAACAAGACTCCAGTAACGAGTTAGTTAGGGGGGGTAAGACTTATGATGCTCACTGTATAGTTATGTAAATTTCTATATTACACTTCAATAAAGAGTTCATTCAGGTGGTGGTGATGGTAGTGGTGTATATCGATAAAGCTAAATAGTCCACTCGTAACATAATCAAGCAAAAGTAGCTGGTAAAAGAAGTTTCTAATGTATAAACATACACTGCGTCTAATAAGAAAACGATTATAGTTCAACAGTAACCCTTATTTTTAAAAACAAGAAAACAATGTTAATTGAAAAACTTATTTTAGAATCAATATTTACTACCAAATCCCAGTCACTTATTTGGTATTTCTCTTTTTTCCCCTGACCTCAGTCCCTGTGAAAAAAATGTCCCCAAGGGCTGTCATTTCGGGACTTTAGAAATCATCCAAAAGACTGTAACGGACATGCTGAAAACAATAACGGTTGAAGACTTCCAGCGCTGTACGAACAGTGTGAACAACGTCTTCATCGGTGTGTAGCTGCCCAAAGGAACTACTTTAAAGGGTATAACATTGATGTTTGAAAGAAACAAAAACTTTGTAAAATAAAAAATCAGTCTCATTAGTTTTCTGCCACACCTCGTAGATCAGGTGCATAGAATCTCAAATGTGATTAACAATTTCAGCCATCTTCCTTGTTGTTGCCTAGGATTTTGATAAAGTATGGTAAGATAGCTTAAAATATAATTTGAATGTGCTACTTCCACAGCCATACTCAGAGCTATTCGATTCATATATTTCAGATAGATTAAGCATATGCCAATTTAAAAGAAATTAAAGCAGAAGTACCACATGATAGTGTTTTTAAACCCACTTTGAATCTGTAGCAACATTTGCAGATGATACTACTATTTTAGCGATAGGCAAAGATCATGAAAAGGCTGCAAGTTACCTAGAAACATCTCTTAATGAAATTAATGATTAAATTGTATTTAAAAATCCCTATAAATGATTAGACATTACAAAAACATCAATACAAGGATATTGACTTAAATGCTTGATAAAACACAACAGAGATTAAAGCAGGAACAAAATAATAAACATAATATTGGTCTTCTAAAAAAACTAAGTTATCTGTTAATCAAATTATATATCATTTATGTTTCTAAAACTTCATACTAACCTGAATAAAAGTAATACACATAGCACCAACTCCCAAAAGAAGAGCACTTTGTGAAATAATGTAGTTAATTTTTGGTAGACAGCCCGTGAAGCGTAAAGAATAAATATCAGTACAGTTATTTTGACGGCAACAACTGTCCGGAACTACAAAAACTTTGGGTTTTCCAGTGGAATAACGAATTTCAGTTACATAGGACATATTGTACCTGCCCTCGTATTTTGCCCAGTCATCAGGTCCATTGACTCCACAGCAACGTAGCTAAAACAAAACATAAAATGGTAAGGTTATGTAATTTTTATACATTTTAGGTGTACTGATCTGCTATGAAAAATGCAAACAGACAGAAAGATAAGTCCAAACCTCTCAGATAAATAAGTTACTGTTCATCATTTGTTTGGTAACAAAGGTAAAGGATGTATATTTTATTTCTGGTAACAAGCGGACCACTATAGGCTTTCCTACCCTTCTTAGTTGCACAGAAGGGGTCAGGGATCTGAGTAAATAGGGTAGAAGTAATGGAAGATAGCTAAAAGGAGGTTATTGACTTTCTAATTACTAAGTCCTTCTTTCTTAACACTGGAAAACTAAAGAAAATATGGCAGTTACTTATATGGAAACCCCACTACCTACGAATATTTTAAAGGACACATAACGAGGTCCACAACACAGGACTTCATAACTAACATTTCCCCTAAAACATTATATATATATAATAATAATAATAATAATAATAATAATAATAATAATAATAATAATAATAATAATAATAATAATAATAATAATAATAATAATAATAATAATAATAATAATAATAATAATAATAATAATAATAATAATAATAATAATAATAATAATAATAATAATAATAATAATAATAATAATAATAATAATAATAATAATAATAATAATAATAATAATAATAATAATAATAATAATAATAATCTCGTTTAAAATATTTTTCTCCATCTACTGTGACGGGGAAGTATTATAATTTTTGAAAAAAACATTGGTAAATATTACTCCTATTATAGTAAAATGGATTGTTCTGATTTCCTGAAAAATGTTGTTTTTGCGACTTACCAGGTCATGTCGTGTGGCTCTCGAAAAGTCAAAATGACTTAATTTTCGTATGTTCAATAATATTAAAAATATACTTACGCTACGTTGACTGGCAGACCATATAAAGTTAGTTTCCCTCTGATACTCGTTCATACTTGTATACATATCAGCTTCCAGTGTGATTTCTAGCTGCGCTCTGGATCTGTAAGCTGCTATGCTTACAGCAATTTCCAGAACAACGATCAAAAGAAGGCATAGGGCGTACTAAAAAAAATATAAATTAATGTTGCGGTTAGTATTAGAAAGCCGTATAAACGTAGGAGGGTAAATTATTTATAATAATTATTAACAACTAATAAATAATGATATTTTTAAGGGTAATATTGTAAGTGTATGTTTATTGTCAATTTTTTTTTAAATGTCACAAATATCAGTTTTAACTTTAGAATCACATACTTTGATTACTATACGGTGCAAGATAGAGGTCCGACACGCCCAACATAGGGCGCGGCCATTTTGATGCCTTTACCACAGTTTATAGCTAAAGAATCAGTTCGCTCACTCTGCGTCGGCACTTTTGATCTCAATGTTCCAGTTTATACACTGCGCAACTCGTGCAATACAATATATGACAACCGCTTATAATAAAACAGCAGTCTTCTGCGCATCCTGAATTTGTATCCCTGGAGTGCATGTTATTTTGGAACTTTCAACTGGTCCGAGTGAGCTAACTGATTCTTTAGCAATAAACTGTGACTCCAACACGCCCGAAAACTGTAATATTACCGTACAAATCATGCGCTGTACATAAACTTCGGTTAGAGCGCACGATTTGTACGGTAATACTACGGTTTTTGGGCGTGTTGGAACAAACCTAATATTTACTGACACTGACAGCAGCAAGCAAAATATCAGGTGCGTTTTAATCATCCGCTTCTGCTTCCGGAATTGTCGGTTTAGTCGTTTTAACCTGTCAGATTTAAACAAGAAAACAGACAATTCCGAAGCAGAAGCGGATGATTAAAACGCACCTATTAAAAATATTGCGCCAAGATGTAGGCAACAAGTAATAAGGCATCAAATGGCAGAGTTTTCTATCTCCTTTTAAAAGGCACTCAGAAAGCTGCGCAGTGCAACCATTCTCCGTATAGTAAGAGGAAATCAAAGTATGTGCTTAGAATATATATAGTCAGGAAGGAGGAATCCTAAACGACCTTGGAATCGCGATGGTATCTAATTTTGACCGTGAGCTAGACGAATATGGCGACAAGTGTTTCCGGTCTACCAGTGACGTACTGTCATAAAATTTCCCCCCAGAATGACTCCCCGGATACCCCCTCAGAGCCGCCCCCTGAGCGCCCCCGGGTAATTCCAATGCCAGAATCGAATTCGGCATCCTCGAAAACCCCTGAGTAACGAGTTTGGAGCGATTTTCATGCACGCTGCCATTTCTCACCCACACAGAATCAGCCAAGTGCACCCCCGGGTAATTATAATGCTAGAAATCGAGTTAGCCAGCCCCGAAAACCACCGAGTAACGATTTCCAAGCGATTTTTCCGAGTTTACAGTCGTTCCTATATTGGTACAAGTTACGATGCAATTGGAAAATGCATTTTCCGGGCCAGAAGGCATTTTTCAAAAAATGGCTAAACCAAACGATATAGACTTTTTTCCTGGGACCTTCCTGAACACAATGCAGAAAATCGAATCTCGATATCTGCTGTCCCTAAAAATTTCCGCTATTTTTCCTAACTTCCCTGGACTATATTATTACCTCCCCCAATAATTTGTGTGGTAAAAAATTACTAATTATTGGTGATTTTAATATAACTAATATTCATCTTTTAAATGTTCACCTCTGATATATTTTACTAGAAATTTTTAAACAAAAAAAAAAGAAAACATTAATTCTGATATCTTAATTAAAAATGAAGATGAATAGTAGTGGAAATTTTAAGTGTGTCCACCCTGTATACAACTGGTTACATAAATAGCTATTTTGTACCCTAAATAAAAATGTGAAACTAAGTTATTCTTACCTTGTTTAAGTAGTCCGTATACTTGATATTATAACGAACTATTTTGATTAAATATAAAAAGATTGTTATGTAATAATTATTATTTATATTTAAGAAAATTAAATAAATTATATTTGTTATTATTAGAAAAACTTTCCATCTAAAAGATGTGTCACAGTCAATGTTTTCATTAACACTTCTTTCGTCGTTTTCTGACTAGCAAAAAAATAAACATTTCGCGATGGCTCATTCAAAATAAAACCGTTTTCAGAAAATCTTCCTTCTACTGCATTCGATTCTAACCACACAAAAATCGCTATATTATCACTTGTTAATTCCACATCAAAAATACTTTCATCGCTATCAATGTTTTTTACCGAACTAATTTTAACTTCTGCTCCAGTTAAATTAGAATCTTTAATAGCTGCTGGAAACACAAAATTATCCGGTGTGACTTTGACACCATTTTTTTCCACACTAAGATAGAAGAAGCAGTTTTGCTTAGCTTTTGGTAGGTAACCGCATCCGATACGGGTTAAATAATCGTCAGTTTCAATTGATTCCACTAACACAGATGCTTCTAATTCTTTTATTAATATTTTTTCGGCATAAACTGGTTTAAAAGAATTCCATCGGTACACTTCTACCGATACAGTTAAATTGAATAAAGGAGACAGTAAATCAGATACTAGGTATATTTCTAACGTACGTTGAAGATTTATATGACCTGTGATAATAACAGGAGCAAAGAATTCTTGTGTGTAATATTGCAGCATCTTCCATTTTCCAAGATGATCAATCCCTGACCATGATGGTGCTACCCATACATCATTTAATTGCCAGTACAATACTCCACTTGTATACCCTTCACCTTTATCATTAACGAAACTCTTGTATCGTCTGTAATGTTCTGTTTCTATTTTCACAGCTAAAGCTTGTACAATTTGGGAATAGTATATAAAAGCTTCGTCGTAATTCTTGCTGGTTTCGTTGGGTAATTGGAAGTAAAATTTGATTAGTAGTTGTAATTCTAAATTTCCTATCAGATGGTGTTGTCGATGATTCATGAATATACTATTAATATTTAGATCCGACACATTTTTTGTGACAGTTAAAAACGATTGTTTGCTAGGTAAAGACTGGTATCCGTATTCCGAAGCAAATCTTGGTACAGGATAATAATTTGAATTAAAAGGATCTAAGACATAGTTATAAAAATGAACATCGCCATATAAAGAATCACCTGGATTTTTAGCAACGTATCCTTCTTTGTCAGATTCTTCTCCGTTTGTTGGACTTGAAGTTATAAAAATTCCTCTATTATTAGTTAATTGTAGATATTCAGTTTTTATAGTTTTTACGTATAGTTTAATGTAGTCGTTATAGTAAGTTTTGTATTTGGCAAATGTGTTGTACCAATTCTGTATTAAAGCACCTTCATTCTCATTATTACCCGAAAATAATGCCACACTTGTATGTCCGTAGATTCTCCTCACTTGGTGTCTTACTTCTGAAATTACGCTTTGTAAATATGAATCTGTTACTGGATACATAGCGCAAGCGAACATAAAATCTTGCCAGATCAGTATACCATACTCATCAGCTAAGTCGTAGAAATAATCAGATTCGTATACTCCTCCACCCCATACTCTAATCATATTCATGTGGGAATCTTTAGCAGCTTTAAGCAAATTTTTAATTTTGGTTTTGTTTTGTCCTCTTTCCGGTAAAATATCGATAGGAATTTCATTTGTACCCTTCATGAAAATAGGAATCCTATTTACTTTAAAATAGAACGTTAATCCAGAATCTAAAGGAGTTTGAATCAATTCAATTGTTCTAAATCCAACAAGAATGTGTCTAATACTTTTTTCTGAATTATCTTCACTCATATAAACAACTTTTAATGAATACAAATCACTAGGTCCATATCCGTTAGGCCACCAAGTATTCACATAATTTTTCCTAATTTCAATATTTGTTTTCACCACAATTTCATTATTTTTATCACCTTTGGTATCTACATCAAGAATACTTGTAATATTGATAAAATTTAAATAAAACTTAAATTGTATTCTACCTTTAACCGAATTTTTAATATTGTTAGCTAGGTAAATATCCAAATTTACTTTCCAATGATCCTCATCCTCTTCAGTAACATCACTAACGATGTATCTTATAATAGATTCGTTGTAGGATTCAATGTAAACGTTCTTCCATATTCCCACAGAAGGAAAAGATGGACCCCAGTCCCACGCAAATGAAGCCTGCATTTTTCTAATCATATTTACATGGCATTCACCGTTGTATTCTGTTGGGGGGCAAGTAGGGGGTACTGTGTAGTTTTTAGTTTGTATTGCACTTAATTTTGCAGCTATTTCGATTGGTGATAGGAATCGTACTTCTATTTTATTTCTACCTGTTTTAATATATTTCTTAATATCGAATATGTATTGGACAAACATGTTATCTGATGACCCCACTAGTTTGTCGTTAATAAATATGTAAGAAAATGTATCCAAACCTTCGAAAACTATGTTAATATTGTCATAATTTAAAAATGTGTCTGTTATTAGGAAATTTCTGTAGTAAGTCCAGTTTAATCTAGGAACCCATTTGGTATTTATATCGTTGTATCCGTAAAATATATCACCAATAATGCCACTATTCATCAAGTCACTGTAAACTCCACCTGGTACTTTTGCTTTAATATTAGTAATATTATGTTTGTCATCTTGTAGTATCCAGTCACCATTTAAAGTTAAAATTCGCGCACTATTACTGTAACGTAATATAAATAAGAAACACAACAATTTCACGTACATACTGTAATGTAACGATGTATTTAACTACAGCAACAGTCTCTCTGTTTACTGTTTATTTGGTACACAATGATCTTTTTCAAACCGTCTGAGTTATTATCGGGTAAATTTAAATGAGATAAACTGTATAATATCCGGCTTATTTTCTGTTTACAAATTATCGTTTGTAAACAGAAGGAAATAAAATTATGTAGACCCGAGTTCTCTTCTAAAATTAGCAATAATATAAATGACCGTAGTTGTTTAGTAACTGCAGTAATAATTAATGATTAACTATTAAGTAACTTCTGTTTTTATGATGAATATTTTTAAATGACATAATTTTCTTTTGTTGACGTGCGAATTAAATATTTATCATCTATAAATTGGTGATAAGTGACTATAAAAATATGAATAACGGGTACATACATTTTGTTTTTAAATGGAAGATAAGTGTATAATCTTATCTTCTACTTACATTTTAGAATAACACTGTAAATATATTTTTTATAAAATGTTTTTGTTTCTTCGAATAATCTACTTATTAGTCATAACAACCAAAACATATTAATAATTAAATAAAATCACCTAGTAGATGGATAAATAATTTGTATCAACATTTAAATAAAATGTTTTTTGAAATCTAATTATTACTTAGCCAAAAATGACTTCTATATTGACTCATTTTCACTTAGTTTGTTCAACAAAATGTAATGTAAATGTATTTCTGGTGTTTTAAAATATATCGACTTGAAATTTTGGAAGGTCATTAAGGAAGTAGGGGGTAAATTAATAGTGTATAAGATACCACTCCAACGTGATATCTGCCGCCCCCAGCCACCCCCGGTTCAAAAGTTTAAATGACACCCTGTATTTTTTTTTACATATTCTGAAAGAGCGTAGTTTTTCAGTATCTCTATGTGAAAAAATTACTTAATTACATAATGAACTTTGAAAGATATTTACAGCTAAAGGTTCAGATACCAGATATTAAAAAAAAGAACTAGTAACCTTGGACAGTAGACAAATTTCGAAATAATTAAAGCAGATAGAAACAAAAAATCTAATTATCCAAAAAAATATAACTTATCACAAAAAAATACAACAAAAATAGGTATTCTTATAGACCAACAAAATTTCGCTTTATAACCTAAAGTAAGGACTCTTTTTATTTTTTTAGTTAAATCAAATGTTCAAAATGTTCACCGTTTACATTTAAACAATAGTACAGTCTATTCTCGAAAGCGTTCCGAATATTTTCAAAGACATGTGGTGTTAAACCTCTACATTCCTCTATGATTCTATTACGCAAATCATCAATGGATTGTGGTGGTGTCCTGTAACAACAGACTTCAAATGTCCCCATAAAAAGAAATCCAGTGGGGTCAAGTCTGGGAGCGAGCTGGCCATTCAATAGGACCCCTACGACCTATCCATTGTCCTGGAAAAACGGTATTTAAATATTGCCTTACTTCTAAACAGTAATGAGGGGGAGCTCCGTCTTGTTGAAAGTATAACTGATCCTCCTACATTTGATCTAAGTTTTCTTCCAAGCACTGAATGATAGGAGGATGTATTAATTCTTCTAAAAACTCGAGATATCTAGGCTCAGTTAAATTCTCGTGATAAAAATTGGACCAATTATTTGGTTATTTAGAATTCCAGCCCATACATTAATTTTTTGGGGACGTTGCGTATGGCCTTCTCGGAAAACGTGGGGATTAACATCGCTCCAATATCGACAATTGTGTCTATTTACGAAACCATTTAAAGAAAAGCAACTTTCGTCACTGAAACAAGTATTTCGCAAAATATTTCTATTTTGCCGAATCATGCCTGTCATAGTTTTATAAAATTGGACTCTTCTATCGAAGTCATCGTCGCCTAACTCTTAATGAAGCTGTATTTTATAAGGATGCATTTTATTTAATTTTAATATTTTATGGCACGTTGTTTTTGCCACTCCCGAAGCTTCTGATAATTTTCTAACTGAAAGCTGTGGGTCTAAATTTACGTGACCAAGAACTGCAACTTGCGTTGCTTCATCTCGTGCTCCACGATTATTCATATCACGTTTTTTATTATTTACCGATCCAGTTTCAAAAATTTGTTGTATTAGATTAATTACATAAACAGCAGATACATTTTTGTTGGGATGGTTTTCGTTAAATAATGTTGTCGTCTGCGAATATTTTCTGTTTGCAATCCCATATAAAACTACAATTTCAGTTCTTTCTTCCAAACTGTAAACCATTTTTCTATTTTTTTAGCTATTTAATTTAAACTAAGTCAAATTTTTTCGAAAACGTTTGTACTAACGAGTAAACAGAAGTGTCACAAACAATATTATTGGACAGTTCAAGCAACGAAGCAGCTTTCATGGCTTGCTATTATTTTTTGCTTTCGATATTTGAATATCTGGTATCTGAACCTTTAGCTGTAAATATCTTTCAAAGTTCATTATGTAATTAAGTAATTTTTTCACATAGAGATACTAAAAAAACTACGCTCTTTCAGAATATGTAAAAAAAATACAGGGTGTCATTTAAACTTTTGAACCGGGGGTGGCTGGGGGCGGCAGATATCACGTTGGAGTGGTATCTTATACACTATTAATTTACCCCCTACTTCCTTAATGACCTTCCAAAATTTCAAGTCGATATATTTTAAAACACCAGAAATAATTCCATTTAAAGTTTTAGCGCGAAAACCCGGTATACATTACATGTTTTAGGTCCAGTTACATCACCTCTGAGTAAAATTGAAAGTAACTACTTGTTGAGTAAACAATAAGGACTATTGTTTGTAAACATACATGTAACTTTACTCTATATCTATATGGTGCTATATTTTACTAGTGTAATACAAACATGCATTAAAAATAAGCTAGATAGAATCATGTAGTATATACTTACCAAATTAACAAGAAAAACGCTTTGTCTGACGGCACCTACACAACCAAATAAGGCGACAATGAGAATGACAACTCCAACTCCAATCGCTAAGTCGGAAGCTTTGAAGGTGTGATTTGTCAAGAAAGCATCAAAATCGGTGTAGATTGCTTTGATGGTGTAACCAATGGATATTAAGAGAAAGCCAACTAACTGAAAAAAAAAAATTTATTAATTGTGTACTCTACATGGAGTTGTACTCTAGAATACTAGTTTGAGTGACATTTTCTAATGTATGGTAGAGAAATCTAAGTGGATTTATTGACAGGAGCAGTACCTAGCGTGGGGCTGACAATATCAACTAATAATAAATGTAATTCATTCCTTATAGCGCTAATGGTCTAAGCTGAAGTTGTGCATTTGCTGGTCACATAATAAAACAGTTTTGTGTTTTTAGATACCTTATAAGTTACACAGTGCTTTCTATAAGATAAAATAAGTGCGCTGTTTTCATACATTTGTATTAAAAAAATTTAAATTTTATAAAAACACTTCAGATAGTTTATATTCCATCTGCTTAGAAGTTAAGGAATCTGAATGAATCTAAGTGCAAACAACAATTTAAAAAAGTTATAAAAATAGCTAAAATTAATTAAATTAAGAGTTACACAAAATAAAAAAAAGTCATTTAAACCGGTTGTGTCCGCAATTAATGATTTTTATATACTTAAGTTTAATGTTTAGTGTGCATTGTTCAATATGAACTAAATGTTAAAGTTTCGATACATAAAAATAAAGAGTTGTGTTATTTTATTACAATATAAGGTTACTTTGTTGATTAACAGTAAAAATACTTATCAGATATCTCTGTGATATATTTATTATCTTTATTGGGAAAGATTATCATTTAGTTCGTCAGCACTAGAACTATGCAATTATTTTTAACAAAACAACTTGCTTTGATAACGAAATTGTTTCAACTAATATAGACATCTTTTACAGTGTAACTTCGTCAATATATTTTTTTAATTATGATTAAGTTATAAGTAAACTCGTTTGAATTCAGTGGAACGCTTAAAATGAATATTATTTTACTGGTAGTTATTGATACGGGTAATTATATAAAAGTAAAGCGTTTAAAACCAAGAATTTTTGCTATTCTTTGTCAGTATATTAGTATGGGATGAAAAATTGCCAGTCTAAGCAAGAAAAAAGCAAAATATGGGTTAAAAATATTTTCAATATTGTCTAAATCCGAGGCAATTTATTTACCAGGAATAATTTTTTTTACTTATAATACCACTTTCGTTATACTTATCTGTAGGCAACTTTTTCTAAATAAAAATGATTTTCATTAATGATTTTCATTTTTTTCTTTGGCTACTCTCCACCTTTGAGGTGCCCCACAGTTTATAAAATAATGTTTAAAAATATGTTTATTTTTTTTTTTTTACTTTATTATTTACTACAACCTATCATCTTTTTTATTGAATATTAAATCTGCAGCCTAATCAAGATTATATTAAAATACTATTTCTGATTGTTCTTTGAAAATTTTGTGTTTTTATTAATAAAATCGTTTATTTCGAAAATTTTAAGGAAAATGTTTACAGGACGGGCCTTAGTTTAAACCACACCCTCCACGTTTTTTCGAGCTGTCAGCCTATCATAATCCACGCTCACTTGGTGAGGACTCAAGGGTAAACAGTTTGCTCAATAGCGTAAGACAGCGACCGATTTTTTACTTGTTTAAATTGTTTTTAAATTTTTTAATTGTTTTTATTTGCTTTTTATTTTTTTCCTATTTAAACTGATATATTTGTACTTTACTTGTTTTTAGTTGTTATAATTGTTTTATTATTTTGGAATTGGCTTGGTATTATTTTTAAATTGTTTTTATTTGTTTTCGTAATTGCTTTTAATAGTTTTATAATGTTCTTAATTGTTTTTGTTATTCCTAATTATTTTTAATTGTCTTTCATTGATTTTTAAGTATTTACAAGTTATTCTTTATTTGTTTTATAATTATTTTTAATTGTTTTTTATTTGTTTAAATTGTTTTTTAAATGTTTTGTAAATTATTTTAGTTTTAATTGTATTTAATTTTTATTTAATTGTTAATTAATGTTTTTTAATTGTATTTAAATGATTTAAACTGTTTTTTCTTATTTGATTGTTTTTAATTGTCCTAATAATAATCGATTATCACTCACGACTATTTTATCTAACCGCTATTGCGTGTCTAGATTGATATTCATCACATACTTTGATTACTATACGAGGCAAGAGAGAGGTCCGACACGCCCAACATAGGGCGCGGCCATTTTGAACCCTATGACACAGTTTACAGCTAAAGAATCAGATCGCTCACTCTGCGTCGGCACTTTGGATCTCAATGTTTCAGTTTATACACTGTGAAACTTGGATAATACAATATATGACAACCGCCTATAATAAAACAGCAGTCTTCTGCGTATCCTGAATTTGTATCCCTGGAGTGGATGTTATTTTGGAACTTTCAACTGGTCCGAGTGAGCTAACTGATTCTTTAGCAATAAACTGTGACTTCAAAAATAATATTCACTGACACCACATACTTTGATTTTTTTTTACTAGACGGAAAATGATCGCACTGCGCAGCTTTCTGAATGCCTTTTAAAAAGAGATAGAAAACTCCGCCATTTTGATGCCTTATTACGTGTTGCCTACATCTTGGCGCAATATTTTTAATAGGTGCGTTTTAATCATCCGCTTCTGCTTCGGAATTGTCTGTTTTCTTGTTTAAATCTGACAGGTTAAAACGAATAAACCGACAATTCCGGAAGCAGAAGCGGATGATTAAAACGCACCTGATATTTTGCTTGCTGCTGTCAGTGTCAGTGAATATTATTTTTGAAGTCACAGTTTATTGCTAAAGAATCAGTTAGCTCACTCGGACCAGTTGAAAGTTCCAAAATAACATCCACTTTAGGGATACAAATTCAGGATACGCAGAAGACTGCTGTTTTATTATAGGCGGTTGTGATATATTGTATTATCCGAGTTGCACAGTGTATAAACTGAAACATTGAGATCCAAAGTGCCGACGCAGAGTGAGCAATCTGATTCTTTAGCTGTAAACTGTGTCACAGGGGTCAAAATGGCCGCGCCCTATGTTGGGCGTGTCGGACCTCTCTCTTGCCTCATATAGTAATCAAAGTATGTGACTGACACTGACAGCAGCAAGCAAAATATCAGGTATATAGTTAGCAAAATTGTGTTTAAAAACCTAATTTCAGCTTTTAAATATAGTAAACATATTTTTGCTTCTAGGTAATGATCTCATGTTGAGTATTTTAAAAAACATTTTATATAACTATATATCATTGATCCTGTCAAAGCCCTTAGGAAGATATTTTGTGTAGAATGTATAATACAGTTCTCTTGATTGACGTTGTAGTAAAATGAACAATATGCTCTACTTATTTACGATATAAATATTTGCTTATCAGAGGTATTCAAATTAGTACCATATTGTAATTAATTTTCCCAATATTATGTACAATAAAACAATTAAAAGAATTAATAAATTCTGTAATTTATTTAGTTATACGTATTAACTGATATCAACCGTATCGACCTATAGATATAAAAAAACAAGAGTGTGTTCATATATTTTTTAAATAGGAACTGGCAATGAAAAACTGACAGGTTTAACTATACAGGGTGACCAAATGAATACAAAATAAAGTCTTTATGATCAAGTGATTACTTATCATAACCCAAACTGCCATGGATCATTCCCCTTCCCCCACTATTCTAACCAATACAATTTAAATAGTGAAACTAACAATATATCTATACATTCATTCATTTATTCTACAAAAAAATATAATCAACTTTCTTCCTCTAACTATAGACTATAATCTAACTAACTAATCAAAATTACTTTTAATATGCGGTAAATTTCTTTCCTATAAAAATTTTGACTTTTGGACAACAACCAATATGGCTTCAAACGGTAATTCGATAATAAATACCATGTACAAAGTGGTTCTTGAGATAGTAGAGAGCCTCGAAAAAACAGTCGTGTTCGGCGGCTCTATGCGATCTTAGAAAGGCCTTTGACTTGTATCTCACACTATTTTTTTGTAAAACTATAATTTTGTGGGATAAAAGGTACCCCATTAACTTTTATTAAGTCGCATTTATTAAATAGAAAGCAAACTGTCTTTGTTCTAGTTTTAAATATTCAAGCAGTGGAGTGCCTCAAAGATCAATCTTAGATCAATCGTAGTGTATATCAACGATTTGAGTCAACCCTGTTTTTTACTAGCTTTTTCAGGGGACAAAACGAAATTAAGACAATTATCGTCTAAAAACAACCAAAGTTCCTTAATTATGCCCTCAGCGCAAGGAGGGAGGACGGCTATATTTAGAAAAATCACAATATTTAAACCATGCGATATATATAGACAAGGAAATGATTATAGCTCTATTAGGCGACTGCAAGAGCTGCACAATTGTACTATGTACATTGTGTGTATTTTATTTTATAATAATGTTGTAAATAATATATTTAAAAGGGTGAATAAATGTTTTAAATAAAAATAAAAACGAGTTGAGTCGCTCAATTAATAGGAGATTTATACTTTAGGTCAACGATTATTTCTGAATACAAAAGTAACTATATCGGAAATAAAATACAAGCAACATAAGATCTATCTAAGTAAAGCACTGAAGTTAAATATCTACAAAGTTTTATTTATTCATTTCTCTTTTGCTAATGGAAAAAATAACATAAATAGTGTCAAACTATTAGTTACGTTTCTTGATGGAGATTTAAACTGGCTTAACCATATCAGTAAATTGTGGCAGAAGCTGCTGTGATAACTAAAATATACTTATGGCTGGGGAATTTTACTTACATCATATTTTGGAGATTTGACATTTGAGTATAACATGAAAATATTTTCCGTATGAATGAAACACTGACGTGTCACTTCAATTTTTAAATGATAGATGTATCGTCTGCTAAATATGCTTAAAATGTTATCAATATTATTCGAAATACAAATACCAAGCTCTAAGCAACAAGCCTATCAGTTATTATTCTTATCTACATCTAATTTTTTAATGTTTCCTTATTGTTATCAGAATATATTCATTAACAAACTAATAAATTTATACTAGGCATCAGTAATTTAAAATTTATGTTACCCGCTACTTTAAGGAAAGATCATGTTTAATTTAAGAAATGTATATAAATTCTAAAATGTTAAGAATTAATTAAAAAACATTATATGGGTCGTTCTTCTTTTTAACCTACAAAAAAGTGTCTCTAACAGTCAGTGAAAAAGAAAACAAGGAAATTATCATTATTTTTTCTTAATTGTATTTCAACATGCACTGTACTATACACATAATGGCTGTGCACCATTAAATAACATATGAATTGAATAATTTCATTGTAAAAAGTACGTTACAGAGTTGTAAATCCGCGTGACAGAAGTGTATTTCATACAAATCACAGTGTCTCCCGCTACCTCGGCTTGCGTATAATCCATAATATTACGAAAAAATTATATGATGACACAAAACGTAAAAATATCTCATAACTCCTAAATATATTACCTATCATGTAATAGAAACCATTATTTTTTATCACTTTTAATAAAATATCCAAAAAATTTCAAATACTTGTCTCCTACTAGCTGATGTTTTATTTTGTAAATTCTGTCACGTGGGTTGTCCTTCGAAATACGAGTTTGTGCCTCTTCTCTTTGTGACTTGCGATTGGAGGTTTAGACCCCCTCCCCCCCTTGGTACGATTTCCCCTCTGAGATCAAGAAACAGCGCGTCAGTCGCCCGAAAGCTGTGATAGGAGGTGGGTGTGTTTATTCGGCTACCGCTTCGTCACGTAAGTAATTGATTCAAAATATAATTATTATTGTACTTTTCGTTGTCTACTCTTACGTAATAAGAAATATTTTATTGCCAACGTGTAAATTATATATTCTATGTTAACTTTTAAATGTTATTGACTTTGCAACAAATTTTTACCCCTCCGTCACATAACAACTCCGTCACATATTTATTGTGACGGAGTGGTAAAGTACGTGACAGAGTGGTAAAATAAACGATATTCATGTTCTATTTATGCTGAATCCGAGAAATACTGAAAAAGATCAACTAGTTATTATGGTAATTATTCCTAAGGAAAGTGTTATAAACATTTTTCTATCTTCTCGTACGTTTAGGTACGTATTACTGATTTCCTATTTCCAGATACCATTATGGCAAAAAAGAAGGCGTTAACCCCAGCAGAAAGACAGCGGCGTTGTCGGGAGAAACGAAAAAATGACCCTGAGAAGGTAGCTGAAATAAAGCGCAAGGATTTAGAAAGATACCATGCTCGAAAGAAGCTAGTGGCTGACATGAGCATGCGAGAACATCGAATCAAAAAGCGAATCTGGCAAGAAGGAAATAAAAAAAAGGGGAGAAGAAAAAGATGCTTAAAGAGGTACTTTTAAACACGCCGGCTCCATCACCAATACCAGAAACCCCACGAATGACTCCATCTGCAACACCGACTCCCTCTGAAGTATCTACTTCAAGGGGAAGAAAGAAAGTGAAAAGAGATAGAACAAAGTTATACAGAGATAATATTAAGTTTCAAGAAAAAATAGACCAGTTAGAGAAGAAAGTTCGAAAATATAAGAAGAGATTGCAAAGAAAATCAAAATGCCATTAAAGAACGATACAAAACTGTCAAAAGTCGAAAAGAAAAACGCCTCATCCAATCGGTACTTCAAACCCGTATCGTAAAAGAGTCAAGAATGCAAATCGAATTGGTAAGAGACACATTAGGTGTAAACCGACCTTTAACATGCAAGAGCGTTCTACCAAAACATACTGATCTTGTACGGAAGATTCGTCAGTTCTTCTTGCGGGATGATGTAACGAGAGCTACAGCTGGTAAGAAGGAGACTGTCACGCACAAAAAAAGAAAGTACAGAAAAGGTTTTTGTTGGACTCCATGAAAAACCTGTACAAAGCCTTCTTGAAAGAAAATAGTGGCCTCAAATGCCACTACAGCTACTTCACTAAACATAGGCCATTTTATGTGAAGCCACCTACTGTAGATGGCAGGGATACTTGTTTATGCAAGTTACATGCAAATTTTACCTATGTGGTTATTACATTACATAAGAATAAAGTAATTGTGCAGAAAGACACGAATGCAGTCTTAGAATCACTAGTTTGTTCTGCTGATTCGGTATCCTGTATGAAAGGAGTTTGTTCGAAGTGCAAGAACCGGTGCTTAAATTATGATAAAAGTAACCAAACAGAGATTGTAGACTTACGACAGTGGATAAGAAAAAGTGAAGTTGTAGAAAAGGCAGAGAAAAAGGTAAAGATTACAAAAAATGTACCAGTTATTGAAAAGCTCACAATTAAAGATGTAATCTATAAATTTGAGAGCGAGCTACAAAACTTCAAAACGCACATCCACAATATCAGACACCAATACAAAGCTTACCGACAGTGCATCGACGGGCTGACAGAAAGTGAAGTAGCATTACATATAGATTTTAGTGAGAATTATGCCTGCAAGTATTACTCTGAAGTCCAGTCTCACCATTTCGGTGGTTCTCGTAATCAAATTACCCTGCATACAGCAGTGATGTACCATTTTTCAACAGAAGCACAGACAAAACAGGTAACTTCATACTGTACAGTGTCATCCAATCAGAACCATGGACCTTCTGCGATTTGGGATGCCCCGAAAAAGTTTTTACGATGCTACGTATAGTCCAGATGAGTCATCTGATGAAGATCAGCCTTTGACCACGCTTAAATCGAAAGATCCAACTGATCAAACTGCCGTCTGCGATACTTCTTACCAAACACTCCAGCCTGAAGACATTCATCCAATGAATATAAAAGACGGAGTACACGTATTGGTTAAAGTACGAAGCGAGAGGAAAATCCAATACACTTACGCTGGAGTAGCAAAAAGTACCGTCGATGAAGAAGGCGATGTTTTGGTAATGTTCCTAAAAACTGTAGATGATACTGGAAGACTGTTTAAGTTGGTGGAGACTGACGTATCGGATGTTCCTTTTGATGATTTGATAAAAGTCTTACCGGCTCCGAATATTATTAAAAAGGGAAAGAGACAACATTTCCAGTTCGAAGAGCCACTGTCAGTATTCGAAAAATAAGACTTTTCTATCAGTGGCTTCGAAATTGAAATATTGTCTTGCTAGATTATGATGATTATTTTATTTTATGTTTTTGACAATTTCAGTGTTAAGTAATACTAGATTTTTTTAATTATTCAAGACGAATGAGTAGTCATTTAATTTACTAAAATACGAATTTCTTATTCTAAAGATTCTCAAATGTGATTTAATTAATTATTTAAGTTCGATCTCATGTTATTTTATATGACAATGTTGAAGACTGAAAATTTTTTAAAAAAATAAATGATTCTAGAAAATAAACCTCTTTTATTCCAAAACGTAGCCTGGTATCCCCTAGAGTAACAACTCTGTCACATAAGTTACTACTCTGTTACGATGTTGTCTCCTGGTAGGAAAATTGTTTTGATCGTTCATATATTTTGTTATGACTAGTGCAACATTGGAAAATGAATATTTATAATAGTTGATGATATTGCCGTCTGTAATAATCGTATTTATTTGTAAATGATAGTAAAAATTGATTTATAGCAAAAACCTTCTTTATATTAGCAGAAAATGTGACAGAGTGGTATAAAATCATGAATAAAACATATTTTATAAATACTAATGTATTATTTTAATATGTTTTCTAAAAGTTACTTTAGTCAATTAACGTATTACAAAAGTACAAATTATTTGACGAAGAGTATTGGATAGAATAAAATAAAAGATTTCGTGACGGAGGTGTAATTTTTTTTGTCGAATCCATCTTTCAGGTCTTAAAAATCGAACAAAAATCTATAAACTTCTCGGCCAACATTTTTTTCCGATAGAATAGAAATTCTGCTATCAGAATATATATAAATACTGACGAGGAAGCTTTATATTTTTTTTTTCGAAATTGAGTTAATGTTTTATCAAATTGTAGGTTAAAAAGAAGAACGACCCATATAGTATTTAAAATTTCTAACCAAATCTTAATCATATTTTCGCTATCTAAAATCGCATACGCAATAATCTGCAATATTGTGTATTTAAAATGCAATTGTTTATACACCCATTTATATAATCAGAAACAAACTTACCATAAACATAAAGTTAGCTACAAAAATCATATATTTGACGCATCTCATGCCCAGTTGCAATTCTCTTTCTTTAGACATTTTGTTAATTTTATTTTAGAAGACACCACATACAATTCAAAAATGGCTACTGTCGCACGAACACTACGTGAAATTCTATTGTTACTGTCACCTGATGGCGGTTCTGCTTATCAATTTTAGAGAGATAAGATAGGTTCGGCTTTATTTTATGTAGGCAGATATGACTACAAAATTGAATTGATTAAACCGAATGCATGTACAGTGGGTTGCGATGCGTTTGCAGCAAGGGGCAAATCACTGAGAGTGTAGGTGAAAAAAAAGGAGGATTTTCGAGGATGTACGAGGATTTCTCGAGGACTTATGAGGCTTTACGATAATATACAACGATGTACGAGGATGTACGAGGTAAACTAGGATTTATGAGTATGTATAAGAATTTCTTGAGGATAAAGATCCCCATTATACCTAAATAAATACACTTTACAATAGTTTTTTTGTTTGAGTCGATAGCTTTACAATTAAGAAAATGGTAAGCTTTCAAAATCGGCTGATGTTTGTACATTTCATCAAAATTACCCCTATTTCGTTACACTTATAATTTTTTTAAAAAACGATTCAAAAAAGTGCTTCCTATCAATCAATAATAATAATAATAATAATAATGTTTATTTTGCCAGAAAACATTTACAGGTTTTACAATATTTTTGTTTTTTTGGTTACTACATATTAAAATATTTAGTATAATAATGTTTATTTTTCATTTTTCATTGTTCTTTATGTGTACCATGTAAATACAAGATATAGTTTAAAGCTTAATTAACAAATAATAAGAATCTTAAATTAATACCATGATAGGACAATATAGTTAATTAAATGTGTACCTAAAGGTTTACAAACATAAAATAAACAGGAATCCCTAAGAAACCTTAACGGTTGTGTAAGGGATATAATATAAGATGTAAAATTAATATTTAAATATAAAATACAAACCCAATGTAATTTAGTTATTTATCATATGGTGGATAAGATGTCTGTCTGTTAAATAAATATATTTCTCAAGATATTTTTTGAATAAATTTAGACTATTTATCGTCAGAAAATAGGTTTTATAAATTTCAGGTAGGTTGTTAAAAAATTTAGCTGAAAGGTAAGTATAACATTTCATTCCTATGGTTTTTCTTACTGAAATTGTAGCGACATAATTATTGCGTTTTTGACGTGTATCATAAGAATGAGCTATATTTTGTAGGAGAGACTTATTTTTATAGGTGTATATGATAACATTAAAGTAAAACAACTGCCTGATATCAAATACATTACTTTCTTGAAAAATTAAATCTGACGAGTATATCCATGGTTTTTTGTAGATTATTTTTAAGATCTTTTTTTGTAAGACTTCTAATCTACGCAGGTGGCTATTCGAGCAACCCCCCCAACATAAAATACAATATTGAAGTCGTGATTCTATGAATGCATGATATAATATTTTTAATTGTTTTAACGGTAGTAAATTATTAAAGTATTTAAATTTATACATCATAACTCTTAAAGTTTTTGTTACTTGTAGGATGTGGTGGTCCCATCTCAAATGTGAGTCTACAGTTATTCCTAAGTATTTAATGTTATTTTTAACATGAATTTTTGAAAGTTTTCCAGGTATATTAAGGAAGGTGTAAGACGGTAAGTGATTCTCGTAACTCGCAAATGGAATGAAGTAAGTTTTCTGGAAGTTTATAGTCAATAGGTGATGATCGAACCAGTTAATTACTCTTGCCAAATCATTTTCAGCTACAGTTTTTAAATTTTCCCATGAATCAGAGGAATACAAGATTGCAGTATCGTCGGCAAAACTATAAACTTTTCCCACAAAATTTTGGGTAAGTAACCCATTTATATATATGGAAAATAGCAACGGTCCTAAAACCGTGCCTTGTGGAACACCAAAACTTAAAATATTTTCTTTACTTATAGATTCACCGATTTTTACTGATTGTTTACGATCGTTTAAATAATCTTTTAAAAGGTTCATTGCTAAGTTCATCAAATTTCTAGAGGTGTTCGACGCCCAGACAGAGAACGCGCTACGTGTGACTAAGATAGCTATTGTACAGTCTGCTAAACAAGTTATTTTAAATAGTTTTTAATATTTTTAGGTAATTAAATTTTAAAAGTGTGGAATAGTTTAGGGATTAAATTGGTCTGATTGGACTTTCTTAGAACGTTTTTAAAAGCAGCTAAAGATAGTATGTAGAATTGAAAATAATTATTATGCCATAAAAGGTGTTTTGGAATTCCTTCAACCTTTTGAAATTGAGTCAGAAAATATAAATTTTATAGGATAGCGGAAAATACCTATAATTTTTTTGTAGGCCTTTGTAAATCGTGGAAATAGTTTATATTTTATTTCTACCTTATTAAGGAAAATGGTACCTATTATTAATAACGGTTGTTTCTGAAACATTACTAAAATTTTCGAAATTTTGTTTTTCTACAAAATAATAAACTATACTATTTAGAAAAAAATTTATTTCTCTTATAATTTTATAAAAAATAACAGGGGAATATTTACATTTCTTGATCTATTAAACAAAACGATAAATTATCTCGACGAATGACACCATGTTCTAGTACGGAAGCTAGCTTTACATTTTTGTTGGTGGTTTCATGGGTTTCATGTCAATTTTTTGTAATTGTAGTTTACACGTACATATACCTCTTAACACTTGTTTGCTTTATTAAAAAAGTGTGTTGTTGTGATTTACGTCGAAATAAGTCAAAAACAACTTGAAACCCCATATAAAATCAAAAAGGAGAAACGGAAAAAAATTGAGCCTGTAAATGAACACAACTCAGAAACAAAAATAGCTATCTAATAATAAAAAAATAAAATTTGATTCTTGTGTAGCTTCATCTATATCATTAACTGTTTTTGGTTTTTTAATGGTTTTTCTTGGTGATGAAAATTCCGATATCTCACGGTTATCGATTCTTTTTTTCTCTCCAGAAATGCGGACGACAGTGTTTTTAGATACTCCTGTGGCTGCAGCAACACGATCATTTACATTTTTAAATGGTATTGAAGGTGAATTAAAGTTTCCTTCTCTTCTCATAAACTCTATAACATTGGCTATTATTTCGCGAGATTGACTGTTAATCACGCGGCCTCTTAATTTGCTATTAAACTCTATACTTAGGTTCTATTAAACTGTAATGAGCAAAAAACACAAACGAAAATAAAAGAAATGTTTTAGCGAAATTTACATCTGACATTTACGTCTGAATGAAATAGTGAAATACTTGATGCGCAGAGTGTACTTTCATTGCGTAAATCCGTCGGGATGCCTGTCAGTAGTGCTTTCTCTGTCTAGCCGTCGAAAGCCTCTAGAAATTTGATGAACTGTAAGTGCTTATTCTTAATGTTAATACCACATTACTAAGACGAAATTAAGAAAACGCGATCTTAGGTCAATAAAAATTTAACTTCGCTGGTATAGGAACTTAAATAAATACTTTGATGATCGTATCCCAATTTTAATCAAAACATATGCTAGCTACGTTTATTAAGAATGATAAACTGATTCTAAAAATTAGAAATAAACTAGCCACACCCTTCAATACAAAAATAAATATATTTGGGAAAAATAAAAATCTGGCAACATTGTTATAAGTAATTTGACCCTTTAATTCCAAAAAACATAAAATATACACAACGTTTAATTTTAAAAATCAAACTCGATATCATGTCTTGTAAAATCGGAAATCAGCCATTTTGTTTAATTATTTGTGTCAATTTGAAATAATTTTGTCTAGTATGGGGATATATACATATAGACAATCATTTAAAATGGGATATTTATATCAACTTTGTTACTAAAAAGTTAGGAATGTTACTGCATACATTCAAATTCTTGTCAGAAATATTAAAATGGAATGAGCTAAGAATATTATGTACTTGCTGAAACCCATATAACTTACTTAATTATTGCGTGGGGCGGTGCACTTGATTGCCACATAAATAAATTACATATTAAGCAAAAATGGCTTATAAAGATTTTAATTATGCTTACTCGACAGAGCAGCTCTTCGAAGAGAGTCAGTTCTTTGATGTTAGACAACTGTTCGGTCAAAATCTTATGGGGCAGCATTACAATAAGAATGAGCTGAAAAAGAATACGATTATAATACTCGTTCTAGGCTCCATACTTTTATCTTACCCAAAGTCGATAAATCAAATACCCAGAGAAGTTTTTGGTACATGGGTCCAAAATTATATAACAATACCTACAGAAATAAAAATTATTAATTCGAAAAGACTGTACAAGAAAAAGATAAAAAAATGGATAATACAACACTACCGACTAACGGTACATGAAAATTACTTTATTAAAAAAAAAAATTAAAAAAAATTATATACTTACCTTAAGATCCTAAAAAAACAGACTTGAACTAAAATTAAAATTTTGTCAGTTGTATATTGACGGACTACAGACAGATTTTCCTTGTGGAATGTTAGTATCACAGCTAAAAGTTATATGGATTTAAAACATACATATTTTAAAAATATTTTTGGATATAAAGGGTGTTCCGTTTTTGTCTGGTAAATAAAAAATTATGTTTTTAAATAAAACACCCTGTATTTTATTTTTAGAATGGTTTGGTAATACTGTATTAAACCCAAAAATATTATTAATAGTCTCTCTTACTATTAGAATTTTGCCGAAGCAATCAATACTACCTAGTGTGTATACTGTAAACTTACGAATAATTTCATAGAGAAGATAATATTAGGTTAACTACCTATTAAAAGTTTTAATATGTTAAGTTGTTAGTAAATTCAGCTGTTATCCGAATAGAGTCAATTTATTGAAGTTAAATCGTTAAATTGTTTGAGTTGGAAATTTCCACATTCACAACTAAGTGTGGTAAAAATCTGTAAATGGAGACGTTTAATGAAAGCTACATTTTAAAGATATAAAAATACATTTTAAATTTATAACTATAAACGAGTTCTGTGAGAATAGAGATAAGAGGTCACAAAAAAGAGGAAAGAGAAGAGCGTTCATTAACTGTAAGGGATTAAACTGCAGGGATTAATATCCACCTCCGCCTGATTTACTGAATAAACCTCACTCTTGTATCACCAATTAGGATCATAAATTTGATATCCGGCGAAAAGCAGATAAATTTTATGTCCGACCTCGAACCCTATAATATTTTTGACAATGCGTTCGTCACCTATAAAAGGTATACAAGCCCGTCGAACTCTATCGGCGGTATCGTCAAACTACAA